TTCATAGCTATTGGTTCATATGAAGAGATTGCTTACTGGAAATTTTTCACTTTTCTTCCAGTTTAATTGTAAGAATTACCTGCTAAGGAAGCAAATAATCCCTGAGAACAAACAGAAATAAAAATATAATTGTATTTGTTTCAAAATGTAAATATAATGAAGAGAATTAGAAAATGAATATTCTCATAAATTAACTTGGAAACAATTCTGCCTAAAATTTAAATTCCAGGAATTGAGAAAATAAGAAAGATTAATCATTAAATATTATGAAAATTTAAATAAAATTGGGAAATATTTCTACTTACTGAAAATTGAATTAGAAATTAAGGTGGCAATATTCCTTTTAATTATCAGGTTGCATCATAACATACTCAAATGATATCAGGTATTTTCTTTGATTAATCTTGATAACTCTGTGCCTATATAATGGCTCAGCCATGAACTTTATGTACTTCTCTGAACATAACAGGTAGGGGTGAAAGGTATATATTTCTTGGATTACAAACAGCCCATGAGTCAAAAATTTGGAACACGTTTTCATTTAATTTTTCATGTTTTTAAAACGTTGGGTGAATACTCTCAGCCAGATTTTCAATGTCACTTACTAGTCAATGGGATTTATTCACTTAAAAATTAGGCATTTGGACTTAGTTAATTTCTTCTGTTTTTTTGGTGTGTGTGTGTGCGTGTGTGTGTGTGTGGTGTGTTTTAAAGCTAAAATAATAGCCAATGCTTGAAAAAATTCATAGTTAAGTTTGACATTGTGGTGACAACCATCACTTTTGAGTACCTTTCTAACAGGCTAAGGAACCTGCCATATTTCTTCATAGACAACTCATTTTATTGATTTATTTTATCAGTCCCCTATATACCTAGTGTTTATGTTATATAGAAAATTATAAAATGCAGAAATTTTCAAAATCATAAAATTTAAGATAAATCTGCATTTCAGAAACTGAAAATAAGCAAGTAAATTTCAAAACTGCAAACAAGACTTCTTTTATCATTAATATGTATGTCTCTTCAATATAAAAATTTTCTTCAGCACCAGAACTTTTACTCCAAAACCAATAATTTTTTTCCTGACTTCATCAGAAATGGCCAGTGGCTACCAAAGTTCACTCTAAACTATTACAATGCAACATTGGGGAATTTGTTATGTACTGACTACTTGAGATCTGCAAGTTAAGTGAGAAACCAAAAAACAACAGGGAAGAAAAATAATACTGGGAAGTTATATCTGTCTTAAGCAAGTACCTATGTATTAACAGACTGAATTCAATTCACCAGGCCTTCAACATAAAGATACTAGGTAAAATTTAGACAACTGAATATCTCATAATATAAATTAAATTTACAAATAATAGAGCAAACACATAACTATAATGCAAAGTATATATTATTTTTAAACCATATACTAAAACAAAATACCAAATTAGTGTTGACAGGAACATACAGTAATAATCCAGTTAAAGACTACAGAAGCTGTATTATAAACAGTGGCACTATTGTTGTACATTGAAAAAAATGGCTACTATCTTAACTTGTTGAGAAGGATCCATGGAGCAAAATCTGGGAAAGAAATAGACTGTTGTCAGAGGAGGGTCTGGATACTCAGGACCTTCAGCTAGTAGTGCATTGTTTCCTGGTGTAGACTTGAGCCTAATTTTGAAGATATTAGTTGGCCATACTGAGGAGTTTGGCTGTAAACTTCTGTGTGCAATCGGAATCCTCAAAGAATTCAATTAAAAATGAGATCTTTGCTTAGAATACTAAAATAGTAAAAAAGAGGTTGGTTTTGAGTGAGGAATTGGTAGTAAGTAGGCTATTTCATTTCCACTGTGGAACAATGAGAACTACAGCTTTGGAAGTGCAACTGGAATGTAAAAAAAGTTATGTGCTGTAAAAATGCATTTATACCAGAATAAATGAATTACGCTCTAAATATAATCTTTCAGGATAACTATTTACAACATCAGCCATTGACAGATGCTGCTAGTGAGACAAAAAAATAAGGACTGAGTAGGTACAGTAAGAAGTTAAGGTTACAAATTATATTGGCCAAAGAAAGCACAAAATATATCACCAATGGTGCTTGTTTGTATTTTTGATTCTTCCCAGTATTCAGATGGAATGATATTTAGATTACTTTTCTTCATTGTGTGTGTTAGAGAAAAGTCTGATTTTAAACAAACCTAAGTAGACTTGATTTCTTGCCTATTGAAGAAAATGTGATAAATTATTAATATTGGTAGCCCATGCTTTATATCTATAATTTTGTTTTCTGTATGTTGAAAGAGTGTCCATTTAAATAATAGATTTAATTTTCAACAATGCTTGTTTGAAATACTGCATATATGTTTCAAGTGAATGTACATATTAAAGAAACATTTCACTGCTTGAACCCAAAACCAAAAATAGAAAATATGTGCATTTTCTGAAAATTTAAAGACTTCAAAACATTGTGTACATACAACATTATTCTGGGAAAGTCAATAGAAGCACTGCTCAAACATACTGTATTCACGATGCCACAAACTTAAAAATGGATGATAATTCATCCTTAACATGTTTTATTACACAAAAGATATATTATAAATATTAAAAGTATATGAATAAGCATATGAAAATTAGGCTCACAGAATATAAACTACTTGAAGTCAAAAATACTCCGGCCCTCCATCTGTACCAGCTGTAACATCACTGGGGCCTCTGTGACTTGGCTCACGATTAATGTTTTTTGCACCCAAGAATGACATATATGTTTTTGAAAGTATTTTATCTAAGACTTCTGTGAAATGCAAATGAAAGTACTAAAAAAATCTACCCCAAAAGGAAATATGTCCTGTGGCTGAAAGATACTTGAAAACTTCTAAAGTATCAGACAACATCCCAGAACTATTCTATAATTTACATAAGAAGCTTCATATAGGCTTAAAAGTTTAAAATAAATTCATATAATACATTTGTAAGCACAATTTCCTTTTTTATTTGAATAAATAATCTAAGAGTTATTAGATACTTGTTGATCAAAACTATTGAAATTTGGAGAATTATGGCTTTCCAAAAACTTCTGTACTTGAATTGTGAGGCTTTTTTAGTTCTATGTCCAAACAATTATATTTTGGAATCATATAACTTGGGGTCATACACTCCTCTTTTTATTATGTAGTTATTGAAGTTATCATGCTTATCAAGTAGAACAATTTAATTGGTGAAAATCTCAGCAAAGAATTCTGTGGGAACAGAGGGGATAAAAAGCAAATGTCTACCTGAGATAGCTATGTAAATGTGACAGCATGAATTATCTGCAAGGAGATGAGTAGCTTTTGTTCAACAACAATGCAGATCATTCCATTATTATTAAGTGTGTGCAGTGTTATTCATCCAAATTCTGCCATGTTTGGTGTATGTACTGTTCCTTATGAGGAGAAACAAGTGAGGGGGTTGAAATGGACACAGGAAGAGAGATACTTAGGGCCATAGCAGCCACTGATCTCCAGCCCCCAGGAGTAGTTGAGACAATTGTGTCCCGACCACTTTATACTGAGTGAAAATCAATTTCCCCATATGAAACTCTATTTACTCTCTGTGCAACAAAATTCTTGGTTTCCTGCAATTCTCCCAGCATTTAAGATTCTTACCACTGTCATTGTTTCAGAGCTCACTGTCCTGTCCATTCTGAGAGGGATTGTATTCTCAAGGGAAATAGGAAAACTTGGCTTTGTAGACTGGGGCTGTAACCACATTGTGTTTTGTGGGAAGAGAAAATGCTATGCGCTTGCTGGGGGACATTGCTCAATAGCCCACCTACCCAACTGGTGTAGGGTCATTTGTTGGCAAAATGGTACCTTTATATAACCTAGTCTCAGAAAAACTACTGTTGAGTAATGGAGGAATAGCTAATATCGTCTTTAATACTAAAAGTTAAGTTTTAAAAAGCTGATCATACCTGAGAGTAATTAGCTAATAATTCCCCTGAGTATTTTCATGAAATTTATGTGCATGTTAATACACTTGACTCAAGATGTTCTTTATAAACAATATGAGCCTATGTAAATGTCCTGGTGATTCAGTTAGTGGTGGCTTCAATTTACTAAGGTCTACAATACTTCAACTTTTCACCAATGGCAGATGTACCAATTTTTCCTGAATATTATTTTTAATTAATGAACTTTTAATATAATGAGCGCCTCTCCTCTTTTTTTTTTGTACTCTACCCTCCTTTTAGTAAGCTTTTCTAATCACTATTTTATGGTCTTTAGTTTGACTCCTAATATAATAACACAAATTTTTTATTCCAGTTATGCTTGAGACCAAAAGCATGTGAAGGTGAGAAACCACTCCTTATTCCTCTTTTGTAATTATAATCCTTTGTACTAAACACTGTGTAATTCAGAATTTTGTAATACATTAATCTATAGAAAAAGCACTTTAAAGGTTTAAAATAGTGATTGCAGTTTTGCTTTCTTCATCCTGCACCTATTAAGACCCTGACTACCTCTTTCATCAAAGAGCCAAGTGTTGATGTGATCCATAATGGTGGAACTATTCTCCAATTACACTGGTTAGATCAGCAACACTGTGCAGTGGCATCTTTTATTCTCTGTCCAAATGAAGATGGGATTATATTTAAACACAGGAAATTTTAGAGTACACTTGACCTTCAGCTTTATATCTTTCAACATAATTGAACAAAAGAAATGCTTTCTCACTCTGCTCTTAATGGCAGATGCTCTGTTATGGAGGATGGATGCTTTATTCCCATTAATAATATGACCACACTGAACTGAGGATGGAGATATCTGTACCATGTTTACATTTCAATTTCAAACTTGTACAGGATTTTCCTTCTATTTTCTCCAGGTAATCAAAGGACCCTTCCATTTTGAAGCATGCTTCAGCTTGATGGAACAATCATACAAGTTTTCCAGTCTATTGTATTCCTCATTTTAGGGAATGGAATAGAGTCATGCTTAGAAGAGAAGATAACAAAAATGAAATATATGTATATGTTTATTTATGGTCCACAACATAGGAGAGCTGTAAAAAGTGAAAAAGTGTATTAGTAATCTTTTATACCTGCATTTCCCAAATGAATGAGAATGAACTGATAAAAGCAATATGTTGTTATAAGAAGGTAGCATTATGTTTATGTGAATTTGTCTGTGCCTTCTAGGGATGAACATCAGAGAGATGTCTGTAATTAAATAGAATTTGGACAAGGTTTCAATAGAAACCAGTCCTATTATGATCCATTAATGGATGGATGCACTAGTCTGTGTGAAGCTGTGAAGGGGGACAGGCAACCCTTAGCATCCCCGTGTGATGCAATCAGAACTGACAAAGATATGCAGGTACACAGTGAGGACGTTGACAGCACAGCATTTTTAATCTGTATCTATAGAAAACATTTATATAAGCTCTCTAATAGAGGGATTATAGAAATACATTTATTATATAATAGTGTACTTTAGTGTACTTACTGTGAAAATAGCACATTTATTTAGAGAGGGATTTTATGCCCAAAGTTCTTGTTGATGTTTTGAAATATATCCATCTCCTTCTTTTGCAGTAATTGTTACCAAGAAAAGCAAATGTACCAACTATTTTCCATGATTCCTTATCAAAAGTCTTCTCCTTTTGATTGATATTTCCCAGTCATCTAGAATGTTCACATCAGTAAAAGAGTCTAGAAAAACGTGAGAGTTTTTATATTGTGAAGTGTCTACATCTGCCTGCATTCGTGTCTCGTGCACATGGCCTGCCGCTCAATTCTCCATGTTCCTTCCTCATAAGTACAGTGACATATGGTGCACTCGTCGGTCTTCACTTCTCTGCCAGCTGGAATGACAGCAGTTTCTGCAAAGCAGTTTGGACCTGAAATGCAGAAGAACATTTTATACTAAGTGTGTGCATAAATATATGATCAATATAATTAGGTAATTAGCATTATAATATATATTTTATTCACTCTTTTTTATGAAGGATAGTGGGAAAGTCAGAACTTCAGTAAAATGAAGTACTTACTCTCCCTTTTTCATCTGAAATGAAACCAATGCATTTAAAATTTTATGAGTGATAATGCTGTGGTTTTCATTATCAGTCTATTCCATTTTGAGACCTTATGTATTGTCATATTTGCAATCATAGATTTAATTCATGCTAAGTAATTATAGGAAAAGCATTCTCATTAACCAAGACCTTCGGAGAACCAGTCATATTCCTCTTGACATTTTTTAGCAGAGCTCAAAGAATAAAACATCTTTAAGTAGCATAAATCCATCATACTTTCCATATCTCCTGGAGCAGGTTTTCAAACTTCATCAGACTTTTCGTCACCTGGAAGACTATACAAATGCTGGTTGCAGGTCCCACCCAAGATTTTCTGACTCCCCAGGATTGGGATGGGGCCCCAAAATTTGCTTTGATAAGTTCCTTAGTTGATGTGGCTGCTGTTTTGGGGGGATCACACTGTGAGAAGCCCCTCCTTAGCATGCTCCAGGGGTATATCTTCAACAATCTTCCATAAGAACTGAGGATCTCTGTAATTCAATTAACATTGATTATAACCTTGTCAAGCAATAAAGACGTCACAGCCACATTTCACTCTATAAGAAAGTCAAATATGTGAAGAAAATGAGTATTAGAACAATTTCCAATGTGAATTGGAACTAATTTTAAAAATCACTGGCTTTATGTTATCGTTCATACACCTACAACTGCTCTGCCTCCAAAACCCTCTCTAAAATTCCAACATAAGTAATCACTAACAAAGGCTCCAACTTAGAACTTTAACAATTTGTGAGATGGTTGGTGGAAGAAGACCCTCATCGTTGTACAAAATACATGTATGAAGATGTGAATTTGGTGTCAACATATCTTATATACAGAGATATGATAAATTGTGGTATAAAGGTATATTAAGAATTATTATGCAAAAAATAATAATGAGAGCTCGTGCAAAAATTAATTAATTTTTTAAAAAAAAATTTCATTCTCCAAATTTCTTTGCTTCTAAAGTCTTTGAGGATGTGCTCACAACCAAAACATGTTTAATTATAATGGGTAAAATCATCAAAGAGATAAAAAGATTCATCTGCGAAAATTTTAAAATTAATCCAAAAAAAGTGCTAGAGTAAAAATCAGCCCTTTTACACTTCCAAACTGTCTAAGTCACACTTTCTTGTAGCTATCTTTCAAATTAGCTCCAGAATGCTGTGCTTAGGACAAACACATAGGTGCACATGGCCCCTTTCTCCCTCCCTTGACTTGTTTTCTTCTTGTCTCCTATGGAGACACTGCTGGTAAAGTTCTGCCTGTGATCTCTTCTCTTCTCTTCTCCCTCAGACACCTTGAAGCTTTACAGTCATTCATTTGGAAATGACTCAACATTCTTTTTTGAGCTCAGGTTTTGTGCTTCCAGAGGAAAGCTGTCTGCACTGCGTGCTGATACCGGGTTGACCAAGCCTAGGCCTTGTGTCTTTTCAAGCTGACATCTGATGAGCTTTATTTACATTAAAGACAACCAATTCATAAATTTTGGTAAACTGTAATACTATTTAAACTCAAGACCCCTCCCTACCCAGTTGCCCTGGCATGATGTCCTGATACTCCCTGAACACAATCCTCTTCTGGCCACCCATACACTTCAGCACCACTTTCCTTGGCGTAGAATGAGTCTTCCTCTGCTATGTGAGATAAAAGACAGTGCCACAGTGGTCATTTAGGTGGGAACAACCTTGTGAAAGTGTTCCTAATTTGGTCATACTGTCTCTGCACAATTCCTGAGCTGCTATGAATTTTACAGTAGGCCTGAGCTCTCTGAAATGCTTTTTTCTTTCTGTTTACCATCTTTCTTTGCAGAGTTTGAGGACACAATCTGCTTCCAATTCAGCATAATATATCGCAGTGTGCTTTCCACACAGAAGGCACACCATAATTGCCCAGGAAACCTGTATCCTTAAATTATTTACAGGTTTTAAATCAATTTGGATTACTTTATTTTAAATCCATTTGGATTAAAAACCTGGTCCTGCCACTTAATAGTTAAGTAAGTGTGGACTAAATAATGTTTTGTACTTCATGCCAAAGAATCTTATGAAATAATATACCTCTCATACGCTTTTGAAAACTCCAACAAATATCCTTTTCTGAATTATTTTTTCTATGCCAGTGTTAGTAGTCACTTCTAAAGGTTTTTGGTGATTTATTAGTTTATTTTTAATATCACTGATGGGTTTTGGTCTTTATTTTTCAATGTTTTGCAACCAACTGCAATTTTTGTTCTTTTTGGTGTTCAAATTACCTAAAATTTGGCTAGAGAACTTCAAACCAGTTGTTGTATCTTTTGACATGCTTCTTTGGTCAATAGAAGCATCTTTAATTTCTGAACCAACATGACAATTTTAGCTCATATTTCCTAAATCTAAAATTAGCACTTTTTCCAAGGGACCCTGATTCCTTTTAGTGGAGAATATATTCAGACATAAGACCTGAATATTGTATGCACTCATTGTACTGATCAGACACTGTTTGCAGGCCCTCTTCAGAGATGGGCACAGATAGAAATGTACATAAGAAATTTTAAAATTGTGATTTCATAATAAATAGTTCAAAAATTTTTCTTAGATTATATATATGTATGTATATACATATATATATATATTTCTTTTATAATGAAACACTAAATTTATCAGTTTTACTTATTTAATTTATCTGATAGGTTTTAATTCCACATATATTTCTTTTTCTTTTCTTTCCTTTTTAAGCCTGGCTCTTGCTGTATAGCTGAGACCACCAGCAGGTCACCATGCTATCTTGTGTGACTCCTTTGACAGAAATTCTCCTTTATTAAAATCATTGACTAAGGTGGAAGTCCCGCCCCTGGCCTCCCATGAGGACTTATGAAACACAAAGGAGTTGGGAACTGCTGGATGTGGGTGGACCACCCAAGCACTGTCAGGTTGCAGCTCTAAGGCCAGGCACAAGAAGAAGAAATAAAAAAATTATTAAATATTCACATATTCAAATACTACAGTTACTTTTAGCCTATGGTTCACATAAAGCAATTTTAAAATTATATCAAAATATTATTATTAATTAATAATGAATACATTTTCTTTGCAATTCTTACAATATATTTTGTTTAAAAGTCACACCTGTAAACTCATACACTTGGGAGGCTGAGGCAGGAGGATCACAAAGTTCAAGGCCAGCCTCAGCAATTTAGCAAGATTCTAAATAGCTTAGCAAGACCCTGTCTCAAAATGAAACATAAAAATATCTAGGAATGCAGAGGAGTGGCGAAGTATTCCTGGGTTAAATATCCAACTGGAAAAATAAATAAAGTCACTCAATTCCTCTCAGTATAGTCATGTTATCAATAACATACTGTTAGTTACATTTGCTTCCATGTGTCCACTCTACCCATTACTACTCTGTCACCTCCCACCTCTGGCCTGTATAGTCAATATTTTCATCAATTTCTAATGTATTCTCCTAGTGTGACAACTGGTTTTTAAAAAATAAGAAACTTTTTTTTCCTCAAAATGCAGGATCTTCTTAACAATTACATACTTTACTTTTATTCTTCCTTAAGGACTTGTCCCAGCTGATCATTTCATGTTAGAATGGAGACCCTCATTGTTTATGGCCCCACATGCGCATTTATCATTATTCAAAATGAGTTCTACTGCTGGGCAATTTGAAATTGGTCCCACATATCCATGAAGTGCATATACGTTTAGTGTGTTTTTTTAATCATCTGCTTCAGGCAAGAAGAGATACACAAATTGGCGGGAACTTAGTGAAAAATATATTCATGAAGAAAACCAAAAAGCCAACAAAAATATCAAATGTTTAAATAGTAATTAAAATACACAAACCTAGAGGCAGAACACAAGTGACATTCTGTTTCATATAGGAAACTTTCTATTTCACACACTTTTAATTATAGTTTTATATAAATTCCTCTCATGACAAATCATGCTAAATGAATCATGAGGAGAAACACTGATTCTGAACCTTCCTTGTCACAGCTTCCATGCTGATTGCACCCAAAGGTACTATAAACATTTGAAATGTCAGATGTTAAAAATAAAAAAAGAGTAACTCTTGATAAGAATTTTACAATGATATGGTTAATTAAATTCTCACAGGTGTTCAATATTAACCAGATTCATTAGCCCCTTTTTCTAAAACCTCATAGAATTGCCCAGGCTGATTATGTTGGAAAAACATGTGAACATGCCTTTGTCTCATGCGGTGTCAGTGAGGAAGAGGAGGGGTAACAAGTACTTCACATATGGTATTTAAATGTGAACCACTGTGGTTGGGTGTGTGCCCCAAGTGTTCATGTGCTGGAAGCTTGGTCCTCAGTGTGACAACATGAAGAATGACTTAAGAGGAACTTAAGTCACTGCAGGTGTGTCTTTGGAAGGGATTAAGGTTGTTCTGGGGAGACCCCTAAGAGCTAGTGGTTTAAAAGGCTGAGCCTCATCCTGAATAGACCTTCTGGCTTCCTGTCTGGTGATGTGATGGATCTTTCTCCCTCTTTCATGGGGTCCCACTATTGCAATGCCATCCATCATTTGGTTCTCACATGGACAAACTGGTGCTGGTGCCATGCCCTTAAACTTCTATACCTGAAGCTAAATAAACCTCTACTTAAAAAAAGAAGTACCCTGTCTCAAATATTTCATTATAGCAACAAAAAAGGATTAATAAATGAACTGTTAAAGAATTTATGAAGTAAGCTGTCTTCATCTAAAACGACCTCAGCTCAAGTAGAGGATTTTTCAGGTAATTTTTAATTAAAAATATCTGCCATTTTACCATTTTTTCCTACTTCAAATATTTAGTTTATGACACAGCTGAGG